GGGAGGTGTCAGGTGCACGGAGAAGGAAAGGGAAGGAGAGGCAGGCCCACTCAGTGTTACTTCACGGAAATACATTGTGATTCCTGGCTTCATTTGTGCGCTTTCATTTCTATACCGTGCTGACCCTTCGCTTGCCTTCGTCCCAGTCCCCCTGTGGTAGAAAGGTCCGTGTTTTAAAAGAAGTCAAGGTTGTCTGGCACCGCTTCTTGTTTGTCTTCTTGCTCGCCATCGGACAGACACAGTTTCAGAAGCACCCCTCCGCATCAAGTCATCCTCTGTCAATTCCTCCTGTGGAGTATCTAATAGCTCTTTAATTTCTCTGAGACCCATATCTTGGAACCTTTCCAGACCCTCCCCGACTTCTTTCCCACCATATCTATGACTCCTTTTATGATTTCCCTGATGGGCTCTGTTTTAAATCCCGTGAAGTCGTACACAATACCTGGACATCTCGAGCAGGACTTGATTGGGGCTTGATGGAATTCTCTATACCAACAGTGACAGCTTCAATGGTACAATCCTCCCAGACTTGCAAGATGTTCTATTCATTCACTCACTGCCATCAAGTCGATGCTGACTCACAGCGACCCCACAGCACAGGGGAGAACTGCCCGGTGTGTTTTCGAGATATTAAAGTCCCACCTTCTTCCCGAGGGATGGCTGGTGGTTTCGAACCAACGCTGACCTTGTGTATCGCAGCCCAATGCATAACCAGTATGCCACCAGGGCTCCTCCTATCGTGGCTTTCTTTAGAGTGCTGACAATCCTTTCCAGGTAGTACATGTGTAATGAGCCGTGGCTCATTTGCTTCGATGCCTTCCATGCTGAACTCAGGGGTCCTGGGTGGCCAGAATTGCCCAATACTAACATCACTTCAAAAGCAGTTTCTGACTGGTAGCGCACTTCCTGACACCAGGGACAAAGAGTCAATGGAACTGCTAATCCAGAGAAGGATTCTTGCTGTCCCCGCCTTCTTGTGTAGCAGTTGGTTTGTATCTTTTCCCCTTCAGGGCGTGGGCTTCAGCAGTTTTATAGGTAAGGGTGGTCCTTATGAGAAATATGTCCAATAGCACGTTCACTAGTTAGTTTATCCCTTCCTGCCTTCAATCCTGGTGCTCCCTTGTCTTCCTTACTAACGATTGTCGTTTGTGACATTTCTCACCTCTCCCAAAGAAGGGCCTTTGTCTACATTCTAAACCTGTTCAGGCAGTTATCCTTCCTCCTCGGTGCTTTTCTTTGTTTTAATTGTTTTATTAGGGGCTCATACAACTCTTATCACAATCCATACATACATCAATTGTGTAAAGCACATTTGTACATTCATTGCCCTCATCATTCTCAAAACATTTGCTCTCCACTTAAGCTCCCGGCATCAGGTCCTCATTTTCCCCCTCCCTCCCCTCTCCCCCTTCCCTCATGAGCCCTTATTAATTTATAAATTATTATTTTGTCATATCTTGCCCTGTCCGACAACTCCCTTCACCCACTTTTCTGTTGTCCGTCTCCCAGGGAGGAGGTCACATGTAGATCTTTATAATCGGTTCCCCCTTTCCAACCCACTCTCCCTCTACACTCCCAGTATCGCCACTCACACCGGTGGCTTTCCCCTCTACACTCCCAGTATCACCACTCACACTGGTGGCTTTCTTAAAAGTGCCTCAGAACTTTGTGGTCTGTTGACATCTTTGGGGTCTTGTCGACTGGTTTTAATTTTCTTCTGCTTTCACCTGAACTTGCCTATGAGGAACAGATGGTCTCCTGTACAATCAGGCTCTGGACCGGTTTCTTTTGGCTGGTGATAACTAAATTCTCTGTCATCTCCTCCCAAATACACAGTCAATCTGAGTTCTTTGTATTCCATCGGGTGAAGTCCACACGTATAGTCACTGTTTGTGTGGGTGGAAAGCGGTGTCTGCAATGAGGAAGCCATTGGCCATATGTTCCAATGTCTGATCTTTGCTCTTTGTTTCCAAGGTTCACATTCCAATGGCCAATAGTTATCAATGCATATTGGTTGCATGTTTGATCAATTTCAGACTGAGACAGTCGGTAGAATTCTTTAATTTCTTCATCATTGGCTTTAGTCGTTGATGGACACGTGTGAATATTAGTTGTATTAACTGGACTTTCTCATAGATATGTAAATAGTAACCCCACCCAAATAGCATGTGCTTCAAGCTAGATCTTGAAATGTTCTTTTTGATGATGAATGTAGCACCATACCTCTTGAGTTTATCATTTTCTGCATTGTGAAACCTGACTGTCTGATTCAAAATGACCAATACCAGTCCATTTCAGCTCACGAATGTCCAAGATATTGACTTTCATACATTTTTGACAATTTCCAATTTTCCTAGTTTCATAATTTGTATTATGAAATTTCAAAATGAGAAGAAACCGCTGTAAAAAGCCATCCACATTCCAACGAATGGCTTTTTACAGCGGTTTCTTCTCATTTTGAGTCATGCCCATCAAGAAATGCAGGTCCCCACAGCTAGTCATAAGGTAGTCGGTGGCTAATTTTTCCAGGAGTGGACTGCTTCTGCATAGTCTGTTTTTAGCCTGGAAACACTGCTGAAATCTGTTCACAGCCACAGCCTAGCATGTCAACCAGTCACATAACCCAGCGTCACTGCAACGTGCAAGCCAACAGAGTATGGCAAAGTGACAGACGAGTGGAAGTTTAGAAGGAAGGTTTTCTTAACAGAGTGACTGAGCGGTAATAAGCACACCGGGAAAAGATGTACACCTTGGAGACCTCAGGACGAAGGCGGTCCCCAGCCAGTTTGGTCCTCACAGGTTTCACCAATTACATTTCTTCAAAGAGTCACAAAAGCCATGCAAAGAGTACTGTGAAACTAGAAACGGGGCCCATGGACTAAAGGAACCCTGGTGACACAGTAGTTAAGTGCACAGCTGTTAATGGAAAGGTGGGCAGTTCAAATCTATGATCTGCTCCAAGGGAGACAAGATTGAATGGCTTGCTTCTGTAAAGACTACAGTCTAAGAAGCCGTATGACTGAGGTGACCAGATTTAAAGCGGGACACCATTGACCGGGGGGCGGGGTGGTTCTTGATTAAAAATTTCATCTATATGGACCAAATAGACCGTTCCCTGGCTTGTCATGCATTCTTTCCAAAAATCTGGACTGCCCCGCCAAAAGCGGGACATCTGGTCACCTTACATATGAGACAGTTCTACGCTGTTAACACAGGGCCACTTATGAGGCCCTCAATGGCCCCAGTAGAGTATGAGATGCCAGAGGCATGATTATCTTCCTGGGAAAGAGCCTTTATGAAATCAGTAGGAACACACTGGGCACAAATGAGCAAAGTAGTTCCTGGTGGTGCACATAGTTAAGTATCAGCAGTTGAAAGGTTGGCAGTTCAAACCCTCCTAGAGGAAGCTTGGCAGACAGGTCGGGTTATCTGCTTCCAGAAAGCCACAGCCTAGCAAGTCCCGGGAGGCAGCTCTACTCTACACACATGGAGTTGCCAGGAATCAGAATGAACCTGGCAACGAACAACAAGGCAGGAGGGAACATCATTCCGGAGACTGATTGGATCTGTTGGATTTCCCAACCCATAGGGAAATCCCTGTGAAATCACCGTGACGGGGAGAGAGGAGCTTTATTCATGATGGCGATTTTAAAAAGAGCCAGGAGTAAATGAGAAGGAAACAGAGAAGACAACCCCTCGGAGTTTGGTGGCTGAGAAGAAAGAGGTAAGAGAAGCCCCTGGAGAAGACGTGGTACCAGGACAAGTGGAGACAGCCTGGCCACACCTTTTACCCTGAAGAAGCGAGGGGGGAAGTCCGTGGTGTGGGTTATTTCCTGAAGCTGAATGCCTGTTCACTCAAGCTGAAGGGAGGAGAGACTCGACAAGCTTCTACAGGAATTCAGAGCCGACACTTTCACCCCAGAGGACGGCAGATACGAGGATGGTATTTGTCCAGGATGAAAGTCTCAGAAGCCAGTGGTACCGCGGGGCGAATGAACAGAAAAAACCTCCTCACTCTGAGAAATGGGATATATTCGAAGTCAGTGGGTTTGGTATTAGCCATATAATCATCTTAAAGTATTGATAAAACATGTAAAAGAACATTTTTAAATGGTATTTCCCCAATTTTCTATAATGAACATGGACTGCTTTTATAATAACAGAGGCTTTATTAAAAACAACAACAAAAGACCTTATGGTGCTACTGGTCTAGCTACTTACATCCACTATGAAGTCCTCAGCCTTCAGTTCAGCCTGCAGCAGTACATTGGGTTTCGCACTGGCGACCTCCTGCGGAAGGCACTTATAGTCCTCCTAGCAGAGATGAGACTCCCATGTCAGAAAATGCCAGGTTTTCACCAAGGGTTAACGTCACAAAGGTGCTCAAGCTCTGAAAACAACATTTTGCTAGAAAAAAGAATGGTAGCTATTCCTAACAAATAAATCATTCCCAGCTTTGCCATCCTTTAAAGAAACCACTCAGAACCTGCATTAACATTTCCCCCCACATTTTGAAAAAAAGGGAGCATCAACCAATTATATTAGTAAACAAAAAGAAGCAGAATGTAATTCAAGGAGTATTGATTATGAAGAAGTAGCGAGTGGTTACCAGGATGACTTGTGTTCCTGGCCTTCTGGCAAAGGAAAACAGTCCCCACAGCAGTCAGGGAAATGGTTATCGGGAGTGCAGGAGACAGCCCCTGTGCCCTCAGAGGGGGCTACACTGTGGAAGGAGTGAGCTTATAGAGGCTGGCTCTCAGAGTTTCAAGGAAGGTCCTAGCGGTACTTCAGTTGGGTCTCCTTATCTTTACATCCACTTTCTGCCTTTATGGCTGGCAAACTTTGAAAACCCCCTCCCCCCTTTCTCATTTCTGGAGTGACTTTGATCCCTGGTTCCCTGTGCTTCCCAAAGCACGTGATTCAATCTCTCCCAAGCCCCAGTTTACCCATCTGTAAAACAATTTTCAGAACCCTGCATGCTGTAAAGAGTAAATGAGAATGAACCACTCAACTTACCCTTTTAATCTTCTCGCAGCCCACTGGTGGGAGGGTCTGACCCACATACTTGTACAGTTGGCGGCATTCAATTTTTTTCAATATCTCTCGTGCTGCATCCAGTTTGGGATCAGTAGAATATAAAATCTCCAGAAAAATGTTATCTGCCAATTTGACGAAATTCCAGTTACATTAGAATGAAATACCAAGATTTAAAAAAACTATTCTGGTGGTAGTTCATAAATACAGACATACCATGATTAATTATAATCTGAAGTTTTTTCCTTAGAAGACTAAAAGGTCCCCACAAAGTTTACAAAAGAAACTTTCAGCCAATGTGTTAGATTTGCTTAAAAACAACCCACTAGAGGGCAACAAATGTACATATGTGCTTGACACAATGGATGTATCTATGGATTGTGATAAGAATTGTACGAGCCCCCAATAAAATAAAATTAAAAAACCCACTAAAGGGTATGGGTAGATACCACACAGGTAGATTTTCAACAGGTTATGAGAGCTGCTCTGGTGGGGTAGTGGTTATGTGTTGGGCTGTGATCACATGGTCAGCAGTTCGAAACCACCAGCAGCTCTGAGGGAGAGAGACTGGGCCTTCTACTCCTGTAAACAGTTAGTTTCAGAAACCCACAGGGCAGTCACTATGAGTCAGCAATGACGTGATGGCAGTGAGTTTCGTTGTTGTTGTTTAAAAGGGTAGAATTGAAGCAGGAGGCCATTCACTTAGGTTGATGACGACCGAGGTTGGAAGATGGCTACATAACCCATGCAAACCAAGCCACTGCTGCCACGTGGATCTGACACAGTGGCCCCAGAACTCTTGGGCAGAGTGGAAGTGCCCAGTAGGATGTCCAGGGCTGTTACCGTTAGGGCAGCAGCCTGACACGGTTCTCCCAGAGAGAGAAGCCGGTGGGTTCCAAGCACTCATCTTTCAGTTAGCAGCCAAGTGCTTTCACCGCTGTGCCACCCGGGCTCTTATCATAATAGGCACACAGGAATGCATCGATTTATTGTTGCCATGTCCACAGCTTTAAAGAGAATGATACTTAAGTGTTTACAAACAAAATTATGGCCGGCATCTGTTTCAAACAGTCCAACGTGAGACGGGAGTGGATGGACGGAGGGACAAAGGCGAAACTTCTGTGCACTGATAATTGTGGATGCTAAGTGACAGGCACAGAGAATCAGACGCACAGAGTTCAATAGGTCTAGTCCATGATGACTCGTAATGTCTTTTTCTTCAACAACTGAGCAACTTTAAAACAAAGTGCCCTTATGTTATACCGTTCACCTGAATTCATCCGTTGTTAACATTTCCCCACCTAGGCACTTTCTCTGTTAGAGGCATCTTTTCTTTTCCTCTATTTTGTTCCTTCTTTTTAAAACTTTTCTCTATTGTGTTTCTTTCCATTTATCTTTATTGAATATAATGTTAAGGCTGTCAAAATTCAATAATAAAACTCTGGGCCTACAGTTTCTGGCTTTCTTTCCCCTCTATTCCACTTTTCTACTAATTCATTTACCATATATACTCGAGAATAAGCCAACCCGAATATCAGCCGAGGCACCTAATTTTACCACAAAAACGGCAGTAAAAATGTGCTGAAAAAGTCGGCTTATACACGAGTATACACGGTATGTCATATTTTACAGGAGTGTTCATCTGGGAGGGGGTGGAAATAAGGAAATCTGGTCCTTCAAAGGCAGTAGGAGATGGATGGGATTAGGTTTCATCCTGAGAGTGTGCTGCAAACAAAATTCAAGCAATGAGGGGACAGCAGTGGTACCCAGGGGGATGCTGCATCTTAGCTCAGCCAGCTTCTGTTGTTTATACCCATGTGCAGAGCCTCCAGGTTTCCCACTGATTCTGTGAGCTGTGTGAATGCTTTCTGACTTTACTGGTAGGCAAACAGGTCAGAGTCTCCTGCCTAGAGCCTGTGTGTGTGTGTGTGTGTTTCTGTCTCCCTTGTTTTGCTGACCTTAATTTCTCAAGCTACTCTTTCCACAGGAACTAACTGGCTGCACACCTTCCCTTCTCTTCCTTCCTCTCACTCTAAGTTACACATTTATTTCCCTGCTGAAGTGAGGACACACATTTCTATATTTTGCATGCTGCTTGGTGATGACAACACCGTTAAAGGAGTGAGCCAGATCCTGGTATTAGTACGGTATTAGATTTGCTAGATTGACTAGGTCAAGTAAGAATCCTGGCGACACAGTGGTTAAGCACTCAGATGCTAACCAAAAGGCTGTCCCTTTGAACCCACCAGCGACCCACGGGACACAAAGACCTGGCGATCTGTTCCCATCAAGATTACAGGCGATGAAAGCTGACAGGCAGTCCCGCTCGTCACATACAAGAACATGCCGCATTTCATCATCAACAGGCAAACTACATGGGACGCATGATTCCTCCCAGTTTATGAGATTAAAAACTAAGGTTCAAAGAGGTTAAATGACTTTGTCGAGTTCACCTTATCAATACAAGGCCAGCCTTAACTTTAATCTAGAAGTATATAATCAAAACTGGATGAAAACACTCCTTAGCATACCCAACCATGTGCGGTCCAAAGGGCAGTATTTGCCCAAGGACCAAGTGCACAGGGCCGGAAGTGATCTGAAAGGAGGAATTGTAAAATCAGGGAAGAAGGGAGGGGAGTTGCTACTGCGCTGCGGGGACTGCCATCAAGGACATGAAACAAAGGATGAATTGTTGAAAGGAAAACGGATTGGCTCTGTCATGTTTCACTCAATTGACAAGAAAAAAATAAAAGCGAATCAGAGAGATGAATGGAAAAGGGGAA